ACCTGCCTCTGCCTCCCAAGTGCTGGGATTAAAGGCGTGTGCCACCAACGCCCAGCTTAAAACTTTTTCTTAAACATCTGCTTTGTTGAGCTACTTTGTGGCTCTACTTCTCACAGAGTTTATAGTCCCGTATAGAGGAAAGACAACAAACAGATAAAAGAACATTTGTTAATAATTAAATACTTACAAGCACTGATAAGTTTTACACAGGAAAATAACTTTGAAGAGAATCATGAAAGGGAAGGGACTCATTTTTGGTCGTGGGAAAAGGCAGCCTTAGAAGAGGGGCCATTGGAACTGAGACTTAGGAGATGATCAAGTGACAGAGTAGTTTAGAACAGTCACATCATCCAACATAGTCAGTATTTAAGTATGTCAAGGAGAAAAGGATTTGGCGCTCTTGAGAATACAGTCAGAGTGGCTGTAGACGGTGGTTGTAAGGGAGGTGGTACAGCATAGGAGAGTGATATTAGGGGGGCTATGTTCTATATGTCCTCGGGCCACGCGGAAGGTTTGCATTTCATTTTACAGTAGTGGGTTTTGGGCAAAAAAACCCCACAAACATGATTTTATTCAGCTTTTTCAAAGATCTTTGAAACGTTGGCCTCAAACTCATGATTCCCCTGCCTCAGTCCCCCGAACTCTGGAATTTCAGATGTGTGCTAACATACCTGGCTCTAAAAAACTTTTTTTTAAAAAAATATTTATTTATTTATTTATTAAATTCATATGAGTACACTGTCACTATCTTCAGACACACCAGAAGAGGGCATCAGATTCCATTACAGATGGTTTGAGCCACCATGTGGTTGCTGGGAATTAAACTCAGGACCTCGGGAAGAGCAGTCAGTGCTCTTAACCATTGAGCCATCTCTCCAGCCCCTCTAAAAAAACTTTTTTAATGACGAGCTGAAGCACTGACTAAGGCCTCAAAACTAGAAGCCAGTGGCTTAAAACCAATTTTTCCTAAGCACGAGGCCTAGAGTATAAATGTATTCTTCAACATCTCTTGATCCCCTGGATGATCACGAGTCCAGTTTGAGGTTAATGTTCTGCAGGACAATGATAGTTAGCAGACTTTGACCTTGGAGTAGAGGTAGAGACAGGCAAAGCCTGATCCAGAAAGAACAAAGTTCTGTTTCTTCTCTTGATCCTATTAAAGTTTTGGGAACTTGACAGATTTGTTTTACTCTGTTTTATTGGCCACTCCCTAATGACCAAGCATTCAAATTCAAATATATGAGCCTGGGAGGTGGTGGTGGCATTTTTATTCAAACTATTACACTCCCGCAAATAAGTTAAGGAACCTTGATGGAGTTTTTAATTTTGAATGAGATAAACAAAGTTAAGAACACTGAGAAACTCTTACACTTAAATCTAACTGAGCTCTGAGGTTGTTGGGCTGTGAATTCACTGGGCTGAGGTGTTTAGGAGCCCACCATTTATCTTCAGGTTGCCCTAACACCGAGGGACCTACATGGAGTACTTGGGAAGACATGGTCCTCCCTAAGGCTAAGAATTTCAAGTTCCCTTGTTAGAAATGTATATAGGTATACAACCCTAAGTGTCTGCTTAATACAGAAATGTTTCCCACGATCCAAGTTCTTCTGTAAAACTGACACTCAAGAAGCCGTAGGACTGTGATACAGGAGCCCACTTTATGCCCCCGTAAAGGGCACAGCAGGCATAAAAAGCATGGCAGGCTTTTCTATGACTCCGTGCTTTCCTAATCAGAGCGTCTGCTGTCCTCGGCACCACTCCCCGCCCCCAACCCTTGCCGGCCTTCTGTGCACTAGGAGTTTTCAAGCTAAGATGGGGAATGAGACTTCAAGTGAATTAAACGCCAGAGTTGCAGAGCTGACGTGGAATGTACCTTATGTGTCTCACCATTTTTGCTGTGCCAAGATAGTCTGGGGGAAGCTTATGCCAAAGGGTGCAGTGGGAAGACAAGTTCTCTATCTCTTGCTGTCTCTCTAGGGAGACGTAGTGGTGCTGCGTAAACACAGGCAGGGAGGTTATAACCACCATTTACCGGCTTGCTTACATGGAAACGTGTGGTGGTCTGACATTCTGAACTCCCACAATGGGAGAAGGCAGTGTTGTATGAGAAAGAGTTTAATGAGTTCAAGGACAGAAGAAAACAGGGTGTGCGCACGGGTGTTCGTACACCTGCGCCCCCCCCAAAAAAATCATTTTTAAAAAGTACTCTTCTGGGTTGGAGAGATGACTCAGCAGTTAAGAGCACTGGGTGCTCTGTTCTTCCAAAGGTCCTGAGTTCAATTACCGACAACCACACAGCGGTTTACAATTATCTGTAATGGGATCCAGCGCCCTCTTCTGGTGTGCATATAGACAAAGCACTCATACATAAAATACATTAATAAACCTTAAAAACAAAACAAAACAAAAACAAAAATTTCTTTAAACAAACAAACAAACAAACAAATGGCCGGGCGGTGGTGGTGCACGCCTTTAATTCCAGCACTTGGGAGGCAGAGGCAGGTGGATTTCTGAGTTGGAGGCCAGCCTGGTCTACAGAGTGAGAGTTCCAGGACAGCCAGGGCTACACAGAGAAACCCTGTCTCGAAAAAACAAAAACAAAAAACAAAACAAAAAACCAACCAACCAAACAAATGTTCTTCCTTATTTGACCTCATTTCAGGTGTGATGGCTGAAAATTCCACTAGGTGGCACTGCTGTAGGCAAAGAGATGTAAGACTATTTGTAGGAACAGGAAGATCTGAACAGATTTCTATTCAATGATGTTAAAGAATTGCTTTTAAAATGACATAGAATATTGCTGTTATGAGATTTTAAAAAATTGTGTGAGTGTGTTTGTGTGTGTGTGTGTGTTTGTGTGTGTGTGTGTGTGTGTGTGTGTGTGTGTGAGAGAGAGAGAGAGAGAGAGAGAGAGAGAGAGAGAGAGAGAGAGAAAGAGAGATGCATATGGCAGAGGACAGCTTTAGGGGTGTTGGTTCTCTCCTTCCACCATGGTGTACTCCAGAGATCCAACCCAGATCATTAGGCTCAGTGGTGCCTTTACCTGCTGAGCCATCTTCTAATACTATTGGGAATTTGTCTGATTTAAATTTTTAAAACACTGAAACAGTATTTTTGTTTGCTTTTTTGTTTTGTTTTGTTTTTCAAGACATGGCTTCTCTATGTAGCCCTGGTTGTCCTGAAACTCACACTGTAGACCAAGGCTGGCCTTGAATTCAGAGATGAGCCTGCTTCTGCCTCCCGTGATGGGACAAAAGGCGTGCGGCACCACCTCCTTGCTCTGAAGCAGTATTTTAAATAATCATATTTATTTATTTATTTATTTATTTATTTATTTGTGTGTGGTGTGTGGGGTGTGTGTGTGGTGTGTGTATGCACACACACATGCTCATGCTACAGCGAGTGTGTGGAGGTCAGAGAATAACTTTCAGGAGACAGTCTTCTTCCTCCAAATGGGTTTTGGGGCTGGAACTCAGGCTGCCAGGCTTGGTGACAAGCTCCCTTCCCACTGAACCATCTCACCAGCCCCCTGTTGTGAGTCACTGTTGAAACTAGGGGATGGCTGTCAGGAAGACTGATTGAAGTACATCTTACTTCTATGCAAGTTTGCCATCTTCTATAATAAAAAGTTCCCCCTTATAAGTGTTTGAAACTTACTATAACGACAGGTTTTTCCCCCTCTTTGGAAGCCTATGAGTAGCTGGTTACCTAAATATGATAGGCGAGGTGTTGCTAATGTTCACTCTGTAGCATCGTCACAGGAGTCCTTGGGATGATGGCTCAAACTCGAAAATGGATCAAGTCAGAGCTCATCAAACTTCTCTTGGTGTGCCTTGGCTTAACGCTGTAAACCCCAGATAAATAAAGCCTTCTAATTTTCTCCTAGAACAGCAGTTCTCAACATGTGGATCTGGACCCCTTTGGGGGTCAAACGACCCTTTCACAGATGTCTCATAACAGTTATTCTGCATATCAGATATTTGCACCACAATTCATAACAGTAAAAAAATTACAGAAATAGTAAGGAGAACAATTTTATGCTGGGGGGGGGTCATTGCAACATGAAGAACTGTATTAGAAGGGTTATAGCATTGACAAGGTTGAGAATCACTGTCCTAGAAAATCAATATTAGTCCAGGGTTAGTTTGCAAACGTAAGTAGTGTGCCCACATTTCCTCTGAAAGATGCTCTATCTTTTCTTTTCTTTCTGGCGTAGCTGCAGAACAAAAGAATGTTCTGCAGAGTTGAAAGTGAAAGCAACCCAGATTCCTGAAACTTCCTGAGGGCATGTTGTTCCAGGAGTCAGGTTCTTCCATTGCAAGGTAGACACAGTTAGTGAGGTTTTACTACTCTCATTAGGTATTGTTGGAATGTATTCTTGGTAGGCAGAAGCCATGTCAGTCTCCGCGTATGATGAGAGGAAGACTGGCTTTAACCCTTACCTGTCTGTGGACCTCCTCGCTAACTCTCATACTCTACATCCTTTAACTTGACTGACGAGATTTTTGTAATATTCCGTAATATCCTCTTTGGTTCCAGCTGATGCTTTGCCCTTCTGTCTTTCAGGTCGCAGGCATCCTCGCGGGCATGTCTGCATAGTCCTTTCCGGGTAGAAGCTGTGTGATGTGTGGTGCTTGAGTTTGCGCAAGTCAGACTCTTCCGTAAAGTAAGCTCAGCTTACTATCAGTAAGCTAGCTATCAGGCCTAGGATGGACGAGTCGGCACCAGTTGAAAGCCGGAGTCAGCTCCCAAGCCCCCACCACGGCTCACTGAGGAGGGCAGTAGCTGCTGTCCTAGCCATGGATGGGGAATCCACATTGGGCCGCAGGAAGAAGAGGAGGAAAGACTCTCGCCCGGAATCCATCATCATCTACCGGTCAGATAATGAGAAGACGGATGAGGAGCCTGAAGAATCTGAAGGTGGAGATCGGCCTAAAGAGGAAGAGGGGGAAGACTTTCTGGACTATCCTGGAGATGATGGTGAGCCCCTTGTTGGAAGTCATGGGAAGAAAACCAAAGCAGGGCCTGCCCTCCAGCAGACAGGCACCTGCTTCCTAGCCTTTTCTTTTTGATGATGTGTATCTTGAGGGGTTGCTGCCTCCACTCATGAAACTAACAATAGTTACTTAGAGCCTGCAGTGCTCTAGTCTAGACAAGACAGGATCTCTACCCTTTCACAACTGCTAGTGTAAGAGAAGTGGTTTTATAGGCTAATTACATTAACATATATGAAGAAGAACAGTTGTTACTGTTCATAATAATAATGAACATGCAGCCAGGTGTGATAGCTTACACCTACAATCCCAGCACTTGGGAGGCTGAGGCAGGAGGATCATGAATTGGATGCCATCCTTGGCTATACAGTGAGGCCATGTCTCAACAAAACAAAACAAAACAAAACAAAAGGTAAAACCAAGAAAATCAGGAGATTGTTTTAAGTTTTGAAATCAGTGAGGTACAATATTCCTTCACATTTGGGAATGTCAAGATTTGTGTGAAATATGATAGTATTTCTAGAAACTAGAATATGTGGAACTAGAATATGGTAGTATTATTATATGGAACTAGAATATGGTAGTATTATTATGTGGAACTAGAATACGGCAGTATTATTTCGTGGAACTAGAATACGGCAGTATTATTACGTGGAACTAGAATACGGCAGTATTATTACGTGGAACTAGAATACGGCAGTATTATTACGTGGAACTAGAATACGGCAGTATTATTACGTGGAACTAGAATACGGCAGTATTATTA